GGGGGGGGGGGGGGGGCTCATGAGGTAAAATGACCAGGGCCCACAGAAAAATGACAGCAGCCAGCAGTCCCGAAGGCTTCCCCTTGGACTAGGCACTCTGCCCAGTCTTCATGCCACTCAATCCCCAAGATCCTCCCCCTTCCTTCTTGTAAAGCAAACTCACTTCTCCTCTTGTACTACATGCTCCAGGCGAGGAACCATGAGTTCAGGCGTCAGGGGGCCAAATCGGAACCTTGTGCACCTGGACTGCAAGGCAGGGATGATCTTGGACAGATAGTTACAAATGAGGCAGAACCTGGTGTTTTCTGTGAACTTCTCAATCACTGGGAGGAAAACCAAACACCTCACCTCAGATTCCACCCTGACTGTCCAGAGGGACCTCGGAAGGTTTAACAAGGTAAGAGCGGGAAGCTAGCTGCCTACGGGGCAAACAATGTTACTGGGTGTTGAGCAACAAACAGGTCCAGCTCAACCACCTTCCTGGGTAGATCTCACTCTGTAGCCCAGGCTGGCCTCAAACTCCAGGTGATCCAACCGATTCAGCCTCTGGAGTGCTGAGATTATTGCCAAGAGTCAACTCCCCCCCCCCACTTTCCAATACACTTCCAAAGTTCATAACATACCATTAGAGCACACAAGACGAATTTTTATGATCTGTCATAGTTCTAACACTTTTGTCATCTTCTCAAGATCAGAGTCCAGTCTGTCCACAAGCCCCCATCCCTTCGTATAAGATGCTGTCTGACAGGCTGCCACGGCCCACCTCTAGACAGGGCGATGGCTCTGCACACTTCCCTGCAGCCCATGCCTGAAAATCTAGGAGCATTCCGGGAACAACAGCCAGTGCTGAGAGATACACAGGACACCAGTGTCACTCTGCAGGGACCCAGTGTCCCCACACAGATCTGCCCACACTGACAGTCACTTGGCAGAACAAGATGCTGAAGGAAGGGTGCCAACACTCTAGAACCAGAAGAAATTCTGTCTGTGCTCCTCCTCCTCTCTACCATTCCTTCCCTCCCAGGTCTCATCTCCACAAGACCCCAAAGCTGCTCTGGGAGTGTTAGTGGGAGCTGCTCACAGAAGGGTCTTTAACAGGAGTGGCATGGGGCCCCATCCACAGGAAAACAGGGCACACTCAGCACTAAGGCCATTCCTACATCCAGAGTCTTGCCTGCTGTTTGGGTTTTTTTCCCCCATAGGTGGAGGGTCTGCCAGTAGATTAGGAAATTAAGCCTTATCCTCACTGAATGACGGACTCCCAATCTGGAACGGAAGCCAGCAGTAGAGGACAACGAGATGACAGAGACCAGCCATACTTGGGGTGCTGAAGGGGACACAGCTACAGAGCAGTCTTACTGAATCACGGGACTAAGAGGTGCCTCCTGATGGGAAGATAATCTCACACCCAGAATTCCTGGCTTTCAGTACACTCCTTGGCCAACGTGTCAGATGGGGCAGCAAGTCTTACCTCGCCTCAAGGCATTCTGGGCATCTTGAGTCATGGCATCAGCTTCATCCAGGATCACAAGCTTAAAGCCTTTCCTAGGAGAACAAACACATGCTGAGGTTTGTCAGTTTCCTCTTGAGCCCAGGTCAGACTACATCTTCACCCCCAAACACAGGCTGAGCCTACATCTTCACCCCCAAACACAGGCTGAGCCTACATCTTCACCCCCACACTTTAACCCACTGAGCCATTTCACTGCCCTCTTCTTTTCCTTATTTTAACCACCATGCCAGTCATCCTTCCTGACCTCGATTATTGCTGTTTAAATTCAGACCAGCTCATCCAGTCTCACCCAGCTAGCGGCCCACATAGAGCCAACACTCCCAAGAGTTGCTTCTGATGTAGGCTCAGGCAGTACCTTACCCTAGCACCCCCACATCTCTTGGACCATCCTGATTTATCCGTTTGCTGCTGACCAAGTCATTCCTTCTTCCCTAGACAGTGGCCAAAGGGAAGATTAATAGCGACGCTATGCCCCGACTTCATGCACTAAGACCTCTGGGGTGAGAAATACATATAATTCTTACTTGAAGATTGTCCTTGTGCTGGCAAAGCTGAGGATTGGCCCCCGGACAATGTCTATTCCTCGGTCATCAGATGCATTCAGCTACACTCGGAAGACAGGCTGCAGTGAAAATCACACCCTGTGCCAGCTATGAAGTCCTGGCTGGAAACTGTCTTTTCAGCACTCCAGTAATGCCAGCTAGCTCACTAGGTCTAATGACAGCTAAGATACAATTATTCAGCAGCACAACACTATCATATAACATCCTAAAAGGCATATGACCTGTCTCCCACCCGTTAAGGACCATCCACATAAATTTATGAAACAAACACAGGGCCTGGTGACCCTGAACCAGTACCTTGGCTGTGAGAAAATGATGCTAATTTTAGTTCTCACCACCTGGAGGCCATCAGGTTTTGAATAAGCTAAAGAAAGAACACTGGACTACAAAGGGCTGAGCCTCATGTCTACTGTGTAAGTCAAATGCTTTTGAGTGAGGGTCTTTTGTCCTCAGATTGGTCTTGAACTCACATAGCCTAAAGATGACCACAACTAAGGATCAAACCCAGGACTTTGTGTATGGTAGTCTCTACCAACTGAGCTACATCCCTAGTCCCCCAAATGCTTTTCTTCCAACATAACATTCAGATTTTTGTAATCTAAGGGTATTAAGATTATCAGCCAAGGTCCCAACATCCACAGACTACATATCTCAGTATAGTAATCTAAGATGATCCAGATGAAGAAACTGACATTTTAAAAGTGTTTGTTGAGTCTACAGCAATGGTTCTCAATCTGTGGGTCATGACCCCTTTGGAGGGACATCTAATAGACCCTTTCACAGGTGTCACCTAAGACCATTGGAAAATACAAATATTTATATTACGATTCATAACTAGCAAAATTACAGTTATGAAGTAAAAATGAAAGTAATTTTATGTTTGGGGTCATCACAGCACAAGGAACTGTGTTAAAGGGTTACAGCATTAGGAAGGTTGAGAACCACAGTTCTAGAGAAGCTACAGGGCTATGCAGTATTAATTGGCACCCCTAAATCTAGGGGGGGTTAACAAGAGCTGTGGGCAGGTAGAACAGGTTGTGGGGAGGGCACGGCCTCTGATTTGAGCCCTGTAGGAAGTGGAGGTTGCCCGGTATTAACACCTTAGTGAGTCCAAATAACATCTCTATTTAACCCCTCCTGCCCCCACTCAGATCTCGATGGCCAAACCCAACCAGGACACAGAGGCCAGGAAGGTAAAGAAAACTAGTGGAATGAAAGCTAAGAGTCTGGAGGTCTGAGCTACTTGTGGAGTGAGAATGTCCCATTCACCTCCAAGACCATGGAGCCGAATTCTTTATCTTTGTACAGCTGCTTGGCACAGGCCAGGATGGTGGATGTCTTTCCTGTCCCTGGAGGGCCATAGAGAAGTAGGTGTGGCAGGCGGTCCTCACTGATGAACTTCTGAACTAAGGCGGGAGTAAGGAGACAATGTCAGCCTTGAACTCACAGAGATCCAACTGCCTCTGCCTCCCGAGTGCTGGGATTAAAGGTGTGCTCCACCAATGCCCGCCTGTGGTTGCTGCTCTTACAGGTTCCTAGCACCTACACACCTACACTGTAGCTTACAATTGCCTACAATGCCACTTCTAGAGGACCCAATACCCTCTTCTGGCCTCTAGAGGCACCAGGCACACATGATACACAGACATGTATGTGTAAACAAAACACCTAAACAAAAAATAGAATAAAAATAATTATCTTTAAAAATTTGTCCTCGGAGGTATTTTAGTGCAGTTATGGAAAAGGAACCAATACACTCCATCCTACAAAGTCCAGTCCTTCCTTTACACTGTCTCCTAGCAGAGACAGCATCAACACCAAATGTATCCAAGCCCTCCCACAAGGACAACAACCGACAGGGATACTCACTGCTACTCAGAATGTCCTGGTGAGAAATGAGATCGGCCAGGGTCTGTGGTCGGTACTTTTCAACCCTGAAATGGGATTCAACACAAATTACAGCAGCATATACAGATGCAAGCCATGTTCTGCCGCATGCAAAGAAACGCCTTCACATCCCAAGCAGGAGAGGAAGAGAAACCCTTCCCATCTCAATACAGCCAGTGACTCTCACAACCAGTGGTGGGTTCTGTCCCCCGGGAGACATCTGCCAGGCCATTAGCTGTAATAAGTGGGCAGAGGGCGTTAGTGGCATCTGGTGAGTAGAAGTCAGGAGTGGCTGAACATCCTACATTGGGCTCCACCCCCACAGTGGGCCCCAAGTCAACAGCACTGAGCTTCAACTTGGATAGGCATGTGACTTTGAAAAGAACTCATACTCAAATATCCACAAGTAAGTTATGATTTAGCCAGGCCATGCTACAGCATGGAGCAACCTTGAGTTGGAGAAGCCAGACTCAAAAGGTCACAGTCTGTGACTCCATTCCTGTGACTTTAATGTGTGGCCCACGACAATTCTTCCTCCTCGGACACAGACCAGAAAAGTAGTAAGAATGGCCAGACAGCTGCTGTAGGACCGTTCAGAATGCAAGTCCTGGGGCCCGATATGGCTCAGCAAGCAAAGGTACTTGACGCTAAGTCTGAGAACCTGGGATCGATCCCGGGGATCCAAGTTGCTGGGAGGGAAGAACCCGGTCCTGTAAGTTGTCCTCTGACCTCCACACGAGTGCGCTGCTACACTCCCCTCCCCCACAAATAAAAGGTAATATGAAAGGAAAAAAGAAAGCAAGCGCTGAATTCGGATACCTGAGGTCGGTCGAATGCAAGCCTACGCACTACCCCCAGTTTCTGAGCTTTTCTAAAGAAAGTCAGGATCGATCTCTTAGGGTCATCAAAGGGCATTGGCGATGCTCTAGGCATCAGAGGATGGCTAAGCTGCGCTCAGGCCTCGGTAGCATGACTGTTGGGTATGGGAGCGGGGGAGCGGGCGGCTGCAGGCAAGGCTGAGGCGCCAAGGCCGGGTGTCTGCAGTGCCCACGCGGGCCGCAGGCCGGGAGCGGGAAGGGGGTCGTAAAGCTTCTAGAAAGAAGGGCGGAAAGCAGGATGCGGGGCCGCTCCTACCAGGGCAAGTTCCGGGCCCGGGCCGCCGCGGGCCGCTGCTCCGGAGGCACCGACGCCATGACTGACAGATGCTGCGGGCCCGGGGCACCGACCTGCCTTACTCAGAGTCCGCGCGCAAACCAATCCTCGCGAGGCTTCGCCTCCCGCTTCCGGCTTCCTGCCTCCGGCCGGCCTCTTCCCTGTTGCTAGGGCTCTAGTTGCTAGGTAACCCGAGGCGCCGGCCGGCTGCCCTGCCACAGCTGGCTGTTCCAGCCGGAGCGGGCTGTCTGAGCCACGCAGGAGGTCCAGGGAGAGGGGGCGCCGCGCCGCAGCCGGTGCCACCGCGGGCCTCACCAGGACCACATCCTGCCAGCGCAAGGGCAAGCCACAATGGAGCAGCAGGTTCCACAGCCAGAAACACTTCCGCGGGTGTGGGTACAGGCAGTGCGCCCTGGGTTCCATAACCAGCAGCACACAAACACGCGTGCGCACAAATACACACACGAAAACACAGTTACATATACAAGCATACATCCATGCAAACATATGCACAACAGTCACATACATATACTCTCACATACACATAAACACATTTGCACGCACATACACATACACATATAGACATATACACGAAAATACAATCACATATACAAACATACATACACAGATGCATATATATATCCCCACATTCATATACATGTACACTTATGCACACACATAAACACGTGCAGTCACACATACAGAAGCACACACTCAGACATATATACACACAAATACACACAGCTACATATATACACACAAACATGAATACATATAACACATTCACATACATGTACACTCACATACACACACTCACACATAAACATACACATGAAGACATCTGTGTGTTTGTATATATACATATGTATATATACATATACATTTATTTTCCCCTACATCAAGAGGATTTCAGACCAATTTTATTTTCAACTTTAAAATTTATTCAGCACCAGACATGGTTGTGCACACCTTTAATCTCAGCACTTGGGAGGAAAGGAAGGTGGATCTCTGAATTCAAGGTCTACAGATTGAGTTCCAGGGCAGCCAGAGCTACATAGTGAGACCCTGTCTTGAAAAACAAATTCATTTTAATTAATTAATTAGTGTGTTTGTGCTACTTGGCCAAAGGTACCTCTCTTCACTGAGCCAACTCAACAGCCCAACTTTCACCTCTTTTGCTGCTCTGTCTTTTCTATAAGGAGTGTGTATAACATCCACAATAAAGCCTTTATTATCATTATTATCATTATCATTATTATTATTATTATTTGCTTGCTTTTATTTTAAGGCAGGGTCTCACTTTGTAGCCTCAACTGACCTGGAGTTTGTTAGTATTCAGGCATCTGTACTGTTCTGCCCTTGGGATTCTGACAGGATAGGCCCTCAGCTGCAGCCCCAAAGAGCACCAATTGTGCACATTCACTACATTCCCTTTAAAAAGGGCCCTGTCTACCTCCCCACCTCTGTCTGCCGCCCCAGTCTCTCTGCCTCCCTCCCTTTTCTCCTGATCCTGTCCCCGGAGGCCAGTCTCCCCCTCCCCTCCCCTTTCTCCCATTCCCTTTACTCTCACACACACACACACACACACACACACACACACACACACCTCCTTATGAGCTCTGTTGCATGGTGACTCTCTCTCTCTCATGCAGCTTTTTAAATTACAAGAGTTCACTATGTGGATTAGAACTCCCTGCCTCCAGGCTCTCAATTCCTGGGAAATAAAGCCTTTTAAGATACCGACACAATGTCCAAGGTACAAGATGAAGACACGTGGTGCACTCCTTTAATCCCAGCACTCGGAAGGCAGAAGCAGGTGGATCTCTGTGAGTCTACAAAGTGCCAGGACAGGCTCCAAAGCTACACAGAGAGACCCTGTTTTGAAACCTCCCCTGCCCCCCAAAAAAGATGAAGACACCAGGAGCAGCTGAGGTTAAGGTGGGGGTGGGGGTGGGGTGGGGATGTTGGGATGTTGGGTGGGAGATATAAGCCGCTGTCACCTGCTGGGGAAGAAGGAGGACGGACCTCAAACACAGGTGGCAGCTATGCTGCAGCCTAACCACTGCCTAACCCAGGGGAAGGGGTTTGGGGGTGGAGGGTGTGTCTCAGTTGTCAGAGTCCATGCACTCTGCCATGCACAGAGCCCTAGGCTTCATTCCCAGTACCATAGAAACCAGGCATGGTATTGCGTGCCTGTTATGTCAAGTCTATGAGGTGCCTACAGGAGCACCAGAATTGCAAGGTTATCCTTGGCTATGTATCCAGTTTATTGCCAGCCTAGTGTTGTATGTAGCTGCCCCAGGAGCCAAGAAACTGCCATCTTGGGGAGTTCAGCTGTGTGCACTTACAAAGGAATTACCCCAGCTGGACTTTTTGACCATTTACTTTCCCTCATGGAAGACATCACCTGAGTATACAAGTGAAGTATATTGTGGGTCCGTGCAACTTATTGTATACAACACTGCCTTAATTGCACATGGACTAGGGGAGGGACTAGAGTATATAAGCTAAGGAAGCCTGGGAGATGGGGCGTAGGTAAATCCTCATCCCTTTTTGGTGCCATCTGTGGAGGAAGGAGCAACCACACCCTTGTAAGTAATTCTCACTTACACTCCATAAGGAAGCCCCCCAAAAATGCATTGGTTTCTCAGAGTGAACTTAGGCAGCAGAATCATACTTCAGTTTGTCATTAGAACCCCAGGAGAGAGGGAGACATTGCTTTTCTTCCCTGGGAAGGAATTTTATCAACACTGGGTTACAAAAACAAAACACATCACAGAAGGGGATCGGATGTGGCTCAAGGGATGACAGCATCCAGATTCTTTGCTTCCTCCTTAGACTAATTTAAACACTGGTTCTTCAGATCATTAGCTACTTGGCTCAGAGAAGCTTGCAATAATACCTGGGTAGCCCTGGCTGTCTTGGAACTCACTCTGTAGAACAGACTGGCCTCGAACTCACATAGATTCCCCTGCCTCTGCCTCCCGAGTTCTGGGGTTAAAGGCGTAATGCCACTACCACCCAGCATAAAAAAGCATTTAACTGGCAGCTTGTTTACAGTTTCAGAGGGTGATTCCATGACTACCATGGTCGGGAGACATGGCATTGTAGCTGTAGCTGAGAGCTATCTTGAGACAAAAACCATGAGTGGGGAGAAAGAGAGCAAACTAACTGGGAATGGTGTGGATTTTTTCAACCTGAAAGCCCACCTTCAGTGATACACCTCCTCCAACATGGCCACACCCCTTAATCCTTCCCAAAACATGCTCCAATACCATGCCTGCCTCCTGCTGCCACACTCCCTACCGTGATGATCATGGACTCCGACCCTCTGAGACTGTGAGTTCCCAATAAACTCTTCTATAAATTGTCTCGGTCATGGTGTCTCTCACAGTAATAAAAAAGTAACTAAGACAATTGGTAGTGACACACCATAATAGGTGTATCATTTGGCTACCATGCTTAAATTCAAACTGCTAATAACCTTTTGCATGGTAGTGTCCCCTCCTTGAGCTAAGAGTCAGACAAGACTAGAACACATTCTCACAATTGGAAAGATGGCTCAGTCGGTAAAGTGCTTGCTGTGCAAGCATGAGGACCCAAGTCTGATCCCCAGATCCCATGTAAAGAGGCAGGAGTGGTGGTGGTGGTATGTGTAATCCTAATGATGAGAAGGCAGGGACAGGACAATAGCCAGCCTAAACTGATGGACAAGCCCCAAGGCAGTCTGAGACCCCATCTCTAAACACAAGATGGATGACTTCTGAGGAATAACAACTATGGTTAATCTCTTGTCTCCACACATGTGTGCACTCACACATATGTATGCACCTGCACCCAAATGCACACACACACACACACACACACACACACACACACACACACACAGGATAATTTCTAATAAAAGTTCAAGTGCACCTGCTGTTCAGGGTTTTACGGATACATGGTCATATGTCTGCAGCCATTTGGGACCAGAACATCATTTTTGCTTCGGGCTGGGTTGTCCTGTAAACCCTAAGCAGATAAAAGAGTTAGAATTATGTCTATGTTTACCTGAGTCTACAGATGCACCAAGCTTTGACTTTTCTTAAGATATTCCAGGAAGCTGGGTGGTAGTGGTGCACACCTTTGATCCCAGCACTCTGGAGGCAGAAGCAGGTGGATCTCCATGAGTTTGAGGCCAGCCTGATCTACAGAGTGAGTTCCAGGACTACACAGTTTGGGGAAAAAAAAACAAACAAAGATAAACAAGGAACATTCTGGCTAGGATGAATCATCTTTGTCCTAACCTGTGACCATGATTCCTTTTCTGACTCAAATAGTAGAGGTCCTTGGGATTAAAGCTGTGTGCCACCATGCCCTGCCTCTCTCTCTGTTCTTACAACATCCTGGGGTGGGTCCTTCTACACTATAGTTGGGTGCTTGGCATGCAGAATTTGTTTGGGTGATGTTGTAGTTGGCGCTGATGACATCATCAGTGTGTGCCTGGAGATGGACTATGGCTCGATGAGAAGAGACAATTTATTACTGACCACTACATACTGGGTGCCTGTAGCACTGTCTGGCCCAAAGGAAGCACATGACACAGCTGAATGGACAAATGAATAGATGGCTGATACTAGCTGATATATAGATGATAGGCTGATACTAGCTGATCTCCATTAGGCTGTTACTGTGGTCCACACACAGTGTTCAGAGTGTTTTGTGTTTACTGCACATATGGCCCCCAATTGACTATGGTTCAGCTTTTAAGTATTCATCTTTATGATGGGTTTGTAGGAGTATATTTATTTTGTGTGAGATTGGGATGTAACTCCCCTACGAAGCCATAGAGCGTCAGTACTCACTCAATCATTGCAAGAAACACAAGCTACCATCTTGGCCTCCTGTTGCAGATATGTTAAGTAGTTGCTCACTTGGCATCAGGGGCCGAATGAGATCTTACCAAGATTCTGATTCCCAAGCTCTTAGCTGTGACACCAGTGAACTCTTGGTTGGCAGCAGTCACAGCAGCCATGTCCCCTGGGACATTGTTAGAAATGGTAATTACCTTCCCCTACCCAAACTCATCAATTCTGGAATTGGGAGAGGGGCACCTGTGATGTAATAAGCCCTCCAAGGGATTGAGATTCAC